TGCTTCTGGGGAGTATAGCCAAGCAATAAGGATCTTTACAAGACACGTTTCAAGCTGCACTGAGGTTGGACCAGAAATTACTTTTGCTGCCATTCCTAGTTGATAGCAAGAAAGGGAGAGTTTTCCCTAATGTGAATCAGCCCAAGCAACCAAGCTTTCCAGTTCTCAGAAAAAGAATATATTTTGTTTAAATGCCTATTTGTGCCTTTTACAGCTGGTTTGCTTTTTCATCTTTAAGATTAGTATTTCTAACTGAAAAGCTGTTTCATGAAGGGTTAAAAACCATTCTCTTTCCTAAGGAAAAGCAGAGCCAAGTGGAACAGCTGAAAATTTCAAACCTTTTCCTTATCTGCCAGGACATTTTGCTTTGAGCAACGTCCAAACACACCTCTCCCACCACCAGCTGCAACTTCTTTCCCCCCTAAATTAGCCAACAGCATCAAACTGGTCTCAGCGTGTGCTGGCTGCACTCACAGCAGTTGTGATTGTTCCCTGGGGACGCCGTGTGCACCTCCCAGCACCTCCACACCAGATTCCAGTGAGTGGGAAAAAGACCCAAATCCCTGCTGAGGTTGACATCGGTGCGAGGCCCCACAGTCACTGCCTACATGTTGTCTCTTGAGCCTACTGACGTCTCTCATGGCCACAGCAAACCAATACTGGTGTGATCCAGGCTGCCATGGAGCTGTAAACACAATCCCATCAATTGTGCTTCTCAGGGAAGCCATCCCTCCTTCTCCCTCCTGCACTGCCATCCCGTGGCCGACAGTCTGCTGGTTCAAGAGTGTTTGTCTGTGAAAAGCTCTCCCTTTCTCCTGGCCTTTGAGTTACTGGGTCTGAAGAGATAACATACCTCCCTCAGACATGGCCCCTTCTGCCCACATCCCTATGGGTCTTGGATTTATAAATCTGAAGCAGTGTTCCAGCATCGCTTAAGCTGTTCCTCATGAAATTCTTTGGCATTTGACTATTAGCTTTTCTTTCTCTGCAAGGAAATAAACCAGAACACAGAAAAGATATGCCCGAGGTGCTGAAGAAGCCTTGTAAAAGCCATTTCAGAGAAATACTAGGTCAGAAACACAGTGTGGTTGCACTCCCACTTAAGAAGGCAGGAAATGGGAACTTTTGCTTTTATTGAAAGATTCTACCACCCCCAAAAAAAAATCCAACCCACCTTCTAGATGAGTAGCAGCATCTGTAGTGGACATGGAAGGCTACTCCACTTAGCAATTCTTCAGCCCTGGGGTGCCACTGCGCAACACCAACAGCCAGAGCAAACAGCAGCCCGTTGGTGAGCATTCACACCCGCAGCAGCCCAGAACAAATGTCAAAAGGCTACTTCACTTACCAGTTCTTCAGCCCTGGGGTGCCACTGCGCAACACCAACAGCCAGAGCAAACAGCAGCCCGTTGGTGAGCATTCACACCCGCAGCAGCCCAGAACAAATGTCAAAAGAATTAAAGAATATTCATGCCAAGGTCTTTGAGGAACAAAAAGGCCCTGAGGAGCAATGGCCGCACGTCAGGTCCTGTGGTGGAGAGGACAAGGTCTCCAGATAGCCCAGCTCAGCCAGGGCAGCACTGGTGAGGCTCTGTCCCAGCATCTGAATGTCTTTGTGACATTATCTGCCCTGGGTTTGGGCAGGATGGGATTTTTCCATCCCTCAGAAATCGTGGTCCCGGAAGCCAGCTTCCTCCCAACGCCCCAGCCAGGGAGAAGGACCTCAGCCCATGTGCTGCCACGGGCAGTACCTGGTGTCACCACCGGCTGAAGAGACACGGCCAGGAATGTGACTCCTGCTTTTCTCCAAATGACCACCTGAGGGCAGGCTGAGGCCTCGTCCAGCCTGCAGTTTTCCGAAGATAAAGAAATAAGGCGGAAAATTGGATAAAATGCAACGTGATTTCATTGAAGATGAATCATGGCAAACTAACAGGCTTCTTCATTAAGACTACAATAACTCTGGGGGAAAAAAGCGTTGAAGATTGCAACGTGATTTCATTGAAGATGAATCATGCCAAACTAATCGGCTTCTTCATTAAAACTACCATAACTCTGGGGGGAAAAAAGCGTTGAAGAGCCTCTTTCAAACACCACTTCCTACCTTGCAACTTAGACAATATATAGTAATTCTCAGCAAGTCCTTCCCTGGGGTTATTTGTGTGACCAGGAAGTGACCAGAAGCCCCAGGATCTGCCACCTCTATCATCAGGGCAGTTGCCAGCCCTGCCACGGCTGCAGCCCCGCACGCTGCAAGGCAGCACGTGGCCACGGGCAGCAAAGCTATTGCAGAGCATCAGACCCACCCAGAATTCAGGTGGGTCGTTCTTGCGTGAAATTACAGTTAACCTTTGACTTCAAGCTCAATTCAGAAAGCCCTGAACTTCTTGCTAGAGTGAGTTGGGCTAAGTTTAGCAACTAACTTGAATGTTTACCACTTCTGTATTGCAACCCTGCGTCCTCACGTGTCCTGTTAATATTTAACCTGCTGAGCACACCAATCTTGATACATACTTTTGCAGTTTTAAGAATATGCCAACTGGGGGACAGTATGCTAGGCTGCAGAAAGCCACGATGAGATTGTTTTCCTGGAAAAGCTGAGGTTCTCAACGAAGAGGAAGAAGTATTTGTCTTCTACAGAGGAAGCACCAAGAGATGTGGAGTTGGTCAAGGCAACACTCAGGAGCTAAGATGGAACCAGCAACCACAGCCAGGTCTCCCAGTTGCTAGCAGCCCTCTCAGAACAAGTTTTACATCAGCTGAAGATGTAGCTTGCTGCCACATCAGTGATTTTCTCTCTTACTAGTGATTTTGCCCTCCCATGAGTGCCAAACCCATTTATTTATAGCACACTTTTTTTTTCTCCCACCTGCCTTTGTGCTTATTTTCCCTTCTTACCGATTTAAGAAAAGGATGGGAGAAAAAAAAATCATCTTTTCCTCAAGTAAAATCTCTCTCAGTGACTTAAATGCAAATTTGTTCAAGCACCTTCAGAGAGCTTTGATCCTTCGTGAGTTAAGAGGGGAAAGGGGAGGGGAGCAGACTATCAGAGCAGATCTTTGCTGCTGCGTAACAACTAGGCAATGGAGCAAAAGCTACCAGAGTTTAAAGAGGAACCTCAGCCAAAGGTCACCTGGCTGTCCTAGGTGCTTGTTATCAGAGCCTTGAAAAGAGGGAAGAAGGTGACATGAGCTGATTATAGCAACAAGTGGAAAAGGCTGATGGTCATGGGGAGCCCATCACCCCTCCCCAGCACTCGGCATGCAGGAGTGCTCTGCTGTTGGAAAGCAAAGGGTCAGCAGAGCCCGGGCTCTGGAGCTGCTCGAGCCACTAAGAGGAAATTTGTCTGTCTGTGAAGCATGTGCTGGGCAGAGAGCAAGAAAGCACCCTGTTAATTGCAAGACTGTATTTTATTTGCTGCCTTGTCTTTGCAAGTGATTTGAACTACTTTCACTGCTCACCCATATAGCTGAAGTGGTGAGTGGAAAGGTGCCAAGGGGACAGAGAAATACTGTCACCAGGACATATCCGGGAGGGCCAGGGGAATGTACTGCTACTCTCTGTGAAAAGGTGTATATTTCTTCAGCCTTCCAAGAGAGGTGGAGGGAAGGGAGCTCGTAGATGCTTACAGTTTCCAGAACTGGCCTAAAGGAGGAGAAGGATTCAGAGTGAAAAATCCTGGCAAGCTGGATCCAGCCAGAATCCCATCAGCAGCTTTCTGGGCATCTAAGAAGTTGTCTCTGACCACTTAGGTTGGTTTTATCTCCCAATACAGGTGGCCCCAGCTCTGCTGATCTTGCTGCCCAAGGACAGGCAGCTGCTTTCAGTCCCTGAACTTTCTCTGCTGTTGCCTGCAGGGGTGAGTGGAGTTCAGACTTGGCTGAACTCACGATTGCGTCAACCCAGAACCAAAGTGCACAGGGACGGGCACGAGGAGAACGATAGCTGAGTTCACAAGAGCGAAGCTGAGACCTTTGGGACATGGAGCTCCCCGGCATCCGCACCCGGCGGGGGCGTTGCTGCACAGAGCCTGGCACTGGGGCAGGCCTGCCCAGAGCAGGTAATGCTGCACAGCTCAGCACCACCCACCTGATAAACCAGAATGGTATTATCAGCCAGAACAGTGCTAGAGGAGTAAGCTTCAAGTTCTTAATCTCTCACCATTGGGCTGCTTTCCAGTCAACGTTGATCACTGGCCTGGCCCACATTTGGTCTTCATTTTTAAGCCTATAATCTTGTTGAAAATCTTTGTCCTAAAATATCCGAAGTCCTCACTCTGCAGATAGAGGGTGTCAGTCTGCCCCTGCTAACGGTATCGAGTTTCTATGCAAAGTGTTACATGGGAAGAGCCAAAAGGATCCACGCCCAGCCATGCAGAGAGAAGAGTGGGCAGGAGGACACAGATCTTTCTAGAGAAACTCTTCTTGACAGTATTGAGTTTGGTCAGCACAGGCAAGCACGCAACCGTCTGGTCCTTCTTCTAAAGCTCTATGCTCCCTCACACCTCCTGAAGGCCCAGGATGGCCACCTGCTCTCCTCTCCACACCACTCATCCCTGCTGCGGAGGGGAATGGCAGATCAACAAGATCAGGACTGACCACAGAACAAAACCAAGTGTCTGTTGCATTTGCTGCCTTTACATCCTGAAGGGAAGGATGAATCTTTTTGCAAAAAGTCAGAGCAGCCCTGGTTCAAACCAGCATTAACTCTATAGCATCCAGCTAACCACGTCCACTGCAGCTTCCTTCTCCTGTCTGAGCAACCTTGTAGAGTTGCAGGGTCAGGAAGTGGTGGGGGGTGGCTGTGCCTGCAGGTGTATGGGGTCCAAAGATGTGGGGACATGCTTTGGCAATTAGTTGCTTTACCTTGGCAAGTATGGACTTGCTGTGAGCAGACAGCTGCGTGTCCTGTGGTGGAGCTGGTGTGAACACCTTCTACACCCCAGGAGCAGTTCCGCACAGGGGTCGAAGATCCTGGTGGTTTCTGGGGTGCTTTTCATCCATCTCCACATCCAGGCAGCTGCAGCTCCTGTTTTGCATCCCACTTTTGGCTTGCACCTTTCCAGCAGCTGTGGATCATCCCTCTTAAAGCTAAAGAAGCCTAAAACCTAAAAAAAAAAAAATTTAAAATGTAATTGTTAGGCAAAATGATTTAAGTGCTTGTGGACCTATTGAAGGGTGAAAGTCTGCTGAGTCTATAAACTCAGCCTGGGCTTCTGCTGTTCAAACAGGACAACAAAACTGGAAAAGCATTATTATGCAAAAAGTTTATTATCAACTGTTCTAAGATCTGTTTCTTACCAAGGCTATTAAGCTCTAGCTGTTAACGCTGTTAGTTAGACACTGTTGACTTTCTGCTGACTCTGTGCTCTCTAGGATGTGCCATGTCCATCTGCAGGGTTGGGGGTGCAGGTGGGGCAGTGGGGTGGTCTTGGCCCCAGCAGAGCTGAGGCTGCTGCCAGCACGGGCACTGGGAAGCACAGAGGAGCCTGAGCATGGGGCTGGAGACCCTCTGGGGCTTGGCTGCTGGGTGGTGGGAGGAAGAAGAGGGTCAGAGGGATGAGCCTCTGGCTGCCTGCTGCTCCGGCCGGCTGGGGAAGGGTGGGAGCAGCTGCTGGTGGAGGTGGAGGGACACTGGTGAGGCTGGGAGGTGCCCATTGCTTGGTGGGAGCTGGTGTGTCCCCTGCAGGCTGACCCCCTGGGCTCATGGAGGGGTGGCTTTCATCCACTGCTGGGGCATCCGAGGCTCTCCACTTGACACCAACCCTCCTCTTGCAGCTCTCCAGCAGGTGGGGATGGTCTCTGTTGAAGCTGGGGTTGTAGTAGTAGAGGATCTAAAAAAAACAAGGAAGAGTTAGTTGCCATCATTTCAGGACTGGAAAACCTAAAACTACAAGAACTTAGACTTTGAGTTTCAAGACAGGTAGCAAAGACACTCAGAGACCTCAGATTACGCTGAGTCTGTCTTTCTATTTAACGAGTTCAAACTGAGCGGATATAACTGAACTCTGTTCTATCCATGTTTCTGCCAGTCAGAGAGACTAATTACAACCTTCCTGAAAAGGACCTGAGAAGGAAATGAAACCCAGACCACTCGCTACCGTCCCCTCCTCCTCTGTTGCAAAGCCTCATTTGACATGAAGGCCCATCTCTCCCCCAAGACCACCGTGAGCATTAGTGGACGTGCAGAGCAGCTGCTGTACCTGGCTGTCAGCTGGTTCTTCTCTCAGAAACTCGGGCAGGGAGGCAGATCTTGGGACATCGCTCTTCAGTTTGGTGAATCCATAGAGGTTCATCTGCCGGAGGAAACTCTTCATGCTGTTCAAGGCAAAAACCTGCAGAGGTCCTGCCCTGCCCAGCACCTCCTCTTTGAAGAGCTCTTCATTGATGGCCACGCATTTTCCACTCAGACTCCACCGAATCGACTGAAACTGGTCGCTTTCCACCAGTTTCCACAGCTTTTGTGAAAAGTAGAGGGCTGAGAGCTCATTGGCTTCACCCGCCTTCTCCTTGGAAACAGCTAGACCAAAGCTTTCCTCGCTGGCCATCACCCTGGACAGCCAGGCCTTGTCCTGCCAGTCAGCAAGCAAAGGCCAGCTGGGGCCAGCTGTAGATACCAGTGGGACATTCTGACAAGTCATTGGGATGCCTGTGCTGCTTAGTGGGGACATCACAGCGCTGCAGTGGTGCCCTGTCAGAAGGGATGAGCCTGAGGAGACATTGCTGAAGAGCACTTGCTGCTTTTGACTCCCAGAGCCAGCGGCGGTGGGACTCCAGAGCCCAGAGGTCAATAAAGCTGTGTGGAACAGCTGTGGGCAGTGAGAGGACCATTCTGTGTCCGGTTGCATCCAGGAGTGGGTCTGCAGGGAGCAGCAGGGATGGCTGCAGCGTTGAGCATCCCAGTGCCCTATTTGGGAAGCTTTCCAGCTGGGCACCTCTGACACCTGCAGAAATGTCCTTACAGTCTGTGTTGGCTTGTTGCTGGATGCTGACTGTTAGAAAACTGTTAGGAAGAAGCCTCTGCCAAGCAGAGGAGAAGATAGCCCAAGAGACAGATAAAAGCCTTGGGGAAAAGGAGGAGCATTCTTCCAGTGCTCCACTTTTTCTAGTAGCATTGCAATACAGGGCCAGAGCAGGACAGCAGCTTTTTCTGAAGAGCAGAAAGAAGGAAGGGAAACTGCTCAGCAGAGACTTGCAGTTTCTCTTCTCTCCTGGGAACAGGGTGGTTCCTGCCTTCTCACTTCTCACTAGAGCATTGGAGAAGCAGCAGCTCCTGTAAGGAGAATCCTTTTCCTGACATCTCCTGCCCCAAAGCAGCAGGAAGTCCCTGATGTTGACCTCTTGTTCTTGCAACCTGCTCAGAAGGGGTTGCACTTCTCTAACTAATGGGTTCAGAATCCTTGGAAACTGCATGGAAGGTCTGGAAACAGCTGAGAAACTTCTGCTTTTGAGGTTTTCAAGTGTAGAGCTGGGAGAGCTGGGGTAGGTGACACACTGGCTTTGTTTCTGGCAGGAAAACCAAAAGCAGTGGCTTCTTCACCCTCTGTGAATGGCTTGGAGCGTTGGAGTGGGTGTGTCCTGCCTTTACTGGCAAACCCGTGGGTCTGGTGGGGAACAGGCCACCCTGAGCACTGCCACGGGAGGAGAAGGGTTGAATGCCTAAAGGGGAAACCTCACTTTCTGGATGCTGGCATAAAGTGTGGGACACTTACGACCAAGGTGCCAGCCAGGAACTTTGGCAGGTGACCTCTGTGTTGTGCCCGCTGCAGTTGGCACAGGAGGGCAGGGAGCAACTTGGGGTTGCTACCTCTTCCTCCTCCAGAAATACCCAACCCTGCATGTGCAGAAATTCCCTGAGTGAGCAGCCGAGGAGCTCAATGCCCCAGGCAGCAGTGCCAGGAAAGCAGACGAACCTTCTGTATCCCCAGCAGATGATGAAATGTCAGAAGTCAAAAGTGTTTGTCTGTGCACCTACCGAAGCCCCTCTTTTTGCCCTTGTCATCCCTCCCTGGACAGGCTTAGGCATGGGCTTGGCTCTCCCCACCCCGGCTTGCTGGGGCAGTGTCTCCATGTTCCTCACAGATGACCTGTCCCTGCTCCCTCCTCCTCCCCACTGCATGGCCCAGTTTGGTCAGGGGCTCCTTACTCACCCACGCGGGTCAGTGAGCACCTTTGCCTGACTCCTCCTTGCAGGGATGGATGGCTCTGGAGCCTGGTGGAGATGATCCCCGTCTCTCAGCTAGCGGAGATGGATGGCTCCGGAGCCTGGTGGAGGTGATCCTTGCCTCTCAGCCAGCAGAGCATCACACGCTTGTGCTCTCTAGTGCTAACAAACCAGGCTGGGCTCTTCTCAGAAATGACTCCACTGGTGGCAGATCAGTTGCTTCTCCTTGTTCTGTGGGTGCTGAAATAGGAAGTCACCCTGGGGTCGTGCTGTGCAAAGAGAGCAAGACAACTGGGAAAGATTTTTTCTTAAAATAGTTTTTTACTAACACTACTAGGGTCTATAGGATACCAACTCTAATAAACTATTTATGGATAACTCTATGGCGTGTCACAAGAGCGGAGTAGAAGGGCACCTCCCTCAGCCTGCTCACCACATTTCTTTTGATGCAGCCCAGGATGCGGTTGGCTTTCTGGGCTGCAAGCACACATTGCTGGCTCATGCTGAGCTTCTCATCCACCAACACCCCCAGCCTCTGCCCAGCCTGTGTTTGTGCTAGGGATTGCCCTAACCCACATGCAGGATCTCGCACTTGGCCTTTTTGAACTTCTTAAGGTTCACATGGGCCCACCTCTCAAGGCTGTCCGGGTCCCTCTGGATGGCATGCCTTCCCTCCAGCCTGTCAACCACACCACACGGCTTGGTCTTGTTGGCAAACTTGGGTGCACTCAATCCCTCTATCACTGATAAAGATGTTAAACGGCACCGGTACCAATACCAGCACCTGAGAAATGTCACTGGTTGCCACTTGGACATCAAGCCATTGACTGCAAGTCTTCAAGTGTGGCCATCCAGCCAATTCCTTATCCACTGGGTGGTCCATCTGTGAAATCCATGTCTCCAATTTAGAGACAGATGTCTTTGTGCAGGACAGTGTCAAATGCTTTGCACAAGTCCAGGTAGATGACATCAGTTGCTCTTCCCTAATCCACCAGTGCTGTGATGCCATTGTAGGTGGCCACCAAATTTGTTAGGCACAATTTGCCCATGTTGGCTCTCACTGATCACCTCATTGTCCAGGTGCCTTAGCATAGTTTCCAGGAGGATCTGCCCCATGATCTTGTTGGGTACTGAGGTGAGATTGGCCTGTAGTTCCCCATGTCTTCCTTTTTTCCTTTTTAAGTTATGTTTCCCCTTTTCCAGTCAGTGGGAACTTCACTAGACTGCCACGGTTTTTTGAATATGATGGCTAGTGGCTTGGCAACTTCAGCCACCAGCTCCCTCAAGACCTGCGGATGCATCTCATCAGGTCCCACGAACTTGAGAACCTTCAGGTTCCTTAGATGGTCTCAAACCTGATCTTCTCCATCCAAAAACCAGATTCAACTAACAAGCCAGTTCCTAACACATCTTGAACAGTATCCGTATTCAGCTTTTAGCTTTTGCTTTATTTCCAGGAAATCCTCAGCAATTCAGGCTTGCTCTGAGGGTGGAGCTTACCGAGTGTTCACACAAGCCAAGGAACAGCAAGCAATGTGCAGTTGCTGGCAGCAGGACAGACCTTTTGGGGTGGAGAGCCAAGACCCAGTGATCACAGCCACCTCTCCCATCTCTGCCTTCAGGAAGTGGCTCGTTCTGTTTTCTCCTGCGAAATGAGGAAGAGGAAGAAAGAAGCTGGTTGTCACAGGAAGATAGACAAGTCAAAAAAGAGAGGCGTTACAGCTGCAGTGAGTTTGAGATATGCTGCTCTGAGTCATCCTGAGGTGTAGGAGAAGCCAATGTCCCCTGCAGCACCTCAGGCTTCTCAGAAGAATTGATTTCCCACCACAAGTCACCCAGCCCTGCATTTCTTCATCAGGTTTACTCACTCTTGGAGAGCAAGCACATTCCTCTGCCTTTCAGCTCAATGCCAGCTCTGCAATGCGTCTGATAGATAAACCAAGCCCTATCAAGACCAAGAACATTCTTGTCTATCACCGTACCTTGACCTATTGTACAAGTTCTTTTTTATCAACTCCTGGAGATGTGGGAAGCAGCTGGAACATGGGATCAGGCATCTCAAAAATAGAAAGATCAGAAAGGTTAGGCTTGAACCAAGTGAGGCAGACAGCCCATAACCCCTGCCAGGAGGATGAGCAATGCAGACAGTGGATGCCTGATTCTGAAATAGAGATGTTTTTCCCCCAGTCACAGCAGAGGAATGTGTTTAAGTAACTGGCTTTTGGCCTTTTCTTTTGTTTACTCTTCCAAAGACAAAACCAAAAGTGACGCCATATCCTCCTTTATTGAAGCACAGAAGGAAGCATCTGGGAAGAGGCGGCAGAACATGACAAAGTCCAGACCAGCCTAAAGGGAGACATGCACAAACCCTCCTGCCCAGCCTGCTGAATATGTAGATATTTATCTACACAGCCTGCTACCACAGCCGGATGGAAAATACCTGCTGGGCTTCGGGATGCTCCAAGAAGCCAAGGGGAGATCAGAGGGAATATCACCCTCAACCCTTCCTCAGTGGTTGCTTGGTTTCTTGAATAACCACCACTACACAGAAGGACCATACTCTCAGCTGATGTGAGCAGGCTCCACAGCCTCCAGTGCAGCTGCATTCATACTTACACCAGGTGAAGAGCTGTGTGGCTACAGCCCGTTTTGAAGATCGTGGTGACTTTCAACCCTTAACCTGTACAAATACAAGCAGAAGAGTGGAATGTGGAAGTGAAACTTCCTGTGTGAGGGACTTTCCTGGAGAATCAGCATGAGAAAGGTGCTGCCTGCCCAGAGAAGCGCTGCACTAAACCTGGTGCTGAAGAATGGCCAAGCACTGGATGAAGCTGGGTGCTTTGTTCAGAGAAGAAAGTCCCTCTGCCAAGTGCGGGCAGCGGCTGAACACTGTTATAATTAGAGCTGAGGTGCCAGGCCACTTGTTTCCAACTCCAGTTATTTTTACCATGCGTCTTTCAGTATTTTATATTCACCTGAAGAGAGCCTGTGTTTGATTTCAGGGGGTAGGAGAACTTCATGCCAAGAGATCCAGTGTTTTGTTTTCCTAGTTATGCAGAATGGTCCTCATCACAAACCAAGGTGCGCCACAAAGGCTGGCAACTAGAAAGCAGAGAGGAAGGACCCCACTTGCTAAGTCAATTTCTTGAACAATTAGGGTTGGCAGCATTTAGTTCTGTCAAATTACTCCAAGGGTAATTTTTCTAATCAGCAAATGTTTATTAGAAACTGCAGAGGTACAGTAAGGGAAGGACAGGCTATTTCGTCTGCAACTGTCCTGACCTTCAGGGAAAAAACCCTCCAGCATAACACAGTTGCCATAAATACTTACACCATGACAAAAGATGTCAGAAATGCGAGCTGTTAACATTTCAGGATACTTAGCCAAAGTGAAACCTTATGCCTTCCAAACTGTGAGCTGTAGAGACCAGCAAGTTTTATGACAGTGTAATACGTTCTCCTAGAGTTTAGAGGGCGGGAAAGTGCAGCTGACACTGAACACATAATACTAATTTCTTTGAAGGAGGTTAATTTCCAAATGATACAGAACCGTCCAACTCATTGCCAAGTTCTGGATCTAAACCAAGCAAGTTCATAAAAGGGTTAGACAGATCAGTGCATAATAGGCTATGTCCTGGGCTCTATCCTCTGGCTCAGGGGATTTCCAGGAGCATAGTGCACACCAACATCTTCCCTCAGTGTCTGCTGCTAGCTGGATGGACCTTTGGCCTGACTTCTTGTCACATACAGTCAGCCAAGACTCAAGTATTGAAATGCTTAATTTTGTTTGCACAAAACAAAGCCTCCTTGCCTGGTTTGGGGTTTTACAGGCTTGTTTCTCAATATTTCATGCATTTAGTTCTTTCTTCTGTCTCTTGTGAGCCTGAGCAGCAGACACCATCTCCAAAGAGGGCATACACCTCCACACAGGGCTGCTGTGCTTCTTGTTTGTGAGGTATTACAACACACCGTACACATGGTCTAACCCCGGATAAATCCCATGCAGGGGATTAGTCACACTGATGTTGCAATCCTTGGTGTCGTGGCTAAAAATGACCCAAAGAAGAGAATTATGAGAATTTTCCATCATGGCTTATTTACATTGATTATAAACAAAGACACCTAACTCTTGTGCTAGCCCAACAACCACTTGTACTTGATGCTTGTTATCTTAGCTCAGGACTATGCTAGAGCAGATTTTCTGCCACACCTTTGGAATGGGCTGCCTTGTTCTTCCAACTTCAGCCAAACAGCAAAAGCATGACTTGACTGCAAACGCTTTACACGTTTCTTGCACAGTTACAGCAACAATTCCTTGCTGCTATAAAGCTGTACCCTGATCTCAGCTCCAGATGACATAATTATAAGCTAAAGGTTCCTAGTCCCAACCACACCATAAGCTCTTCCATTGGTGAATGTCCTTGTTCAGTGTGGTGCAGCACCAAACTCTGCCCCTGAGCCCAGCCATGGTTGCTGCTCTGCTGGTGATATTAGCACTCACAATGGTTGCTCTGGACTTAAACTGTGGAGAAGAGGCTTTAGCATGAAAAAAAAAAAAAAAAATCACTATTAAACCCATTAAATTGTTTTAAGTTGAACACATAGCTTGGCAGCACTAGGTTAATGGTTGGACTCTATGATCTTAAAAGTCTTTCCAACCTAAATGATTCTATATCTTTGACACAACCCCTTTCCAGTGAAGTGAAATACAGCTGTGCAGATGTGATGCTCTTACAGCTTTTGACCTAATGCTTTTATGCAGTAGAGGAGGTGGAAAGACAATACAAGGCCCACGCATGCTAAACCACCTTTGCAGCAGGAAAATCAAACCCTTTATGTAGTAAAAGCAACCACGAGAGTCAGGTCATGGGGCTAAATCAATTGGTCAGGTGGACAAACTGAGATACCTGACTGGTTTCCTTAGGAGTGGGTGACTACTTACACAGATTGTGCAACTCCTCTGTCTCTGCTCTGCAAACACAGCCTGATGTCCAAACACCAGTGTGTGTAATAGCCTTACTCTGCATTGATAGCCTTTGCGTGCATTTTGTAAATAAACAAACAGTGACTCGTAACTGATGGGCTTGGAGAAACTCAGGGCAAGGGTTGTAACACAGACTAAGTCATCACCTTCTCATTTGTGCAAAGATTCCATCGTACGTAATGGGACTGACTGCAACAGGGTAACTCCAGAGAGGAAGCAACCCTGGATGCTGAGGCCAAATCCTCCTGCTCGTGCTTGCCACAAGTAGCACCTTGGCTGTGGCAGAGTTCCACAGCAGCCCACGTTTGCTCCAGCAGCTCAGTGGCATTCGGTCTAACCAGCAACAGCAGCCCTGGCCTGGCAGGATATCCCACAAAGGTGGACGTTCATGCTATGTCCTCACCCAAAACCACCTCTTCCCCCCAGCACTGTGTGTACCATCCCACTCTCCAGATACCTACAATGAATCAGCACTGAGCAAGTGGAAAAAAAAGTACAGAAGATACTAGATAGAAATTAATGTTTAACCTTTGTCTGCCTTACACTACTGGCAAATAGTTGCAGGCAATCCAGAAATCTTTTCCACTCACTTGCTTTCTAACTTGTGAGCAACTTTGTGTGCTCTGCTATGCACACAGCTCCATCAATAGCAGATGTAAGGAAACCTGGTCCCTCATGGATTTAGTATTTGGATAATTAGTCTCTGCATGTTTGTTTTTTTTCTTTCATGGCTACTATGGTTTGAGTCTGCTACAGCCTCTTTCTTGGTCGCTGTATTGTAAGGGCTCTATCCACTGGTTATGTGGTTTCAGAAATCCCTTCGGGGCCTTTAAAAGCTTTACTGTTCTTTAAGCTGTTCTTTGAAGTGTGGCCACCACACTCAGAGCCGCTGGCAGGCAGTCAGCACAACCACAGCACAACTGTGTGCCACCACGACGTTCAGCTTAAAACAGATGGAAGAGGAAGCCAATAGTGAATCATGTAATAGCCTACCAAAAATCCTTTAAAACACGAGACAATGGCAATACGAAATCTAAAAAGGATCAAATCAGAAAATTCTTGTTTGTAGCCTCATCTCCTCAGTTCCCAGAGATACAGCCTGAACCTCCAAACCAAAAAGCTTGAACAGTCATGATCTAGCTACCAGATCTTCAGCCCTGAATGCCCTGACAGTAGGGAAGCTCTCTAGACCAAATCACGTTGTAGCCTCATCTCCTCAGTTCCCAGAGATACAGCCTGAACCTCCAAACCAAAAAGCTTGAACAGTCATGATCTAGCTACCAGATCTTCAGCCCTGAATGCCCTGACAGTAGGGAAGCTCTCTAGACCAAATCTGGAGTCTTGTTCTTCTCTCACAAACAGCAGCCAGCCACAACTGCCTGGCATAAACCCTGCTGTCACAGGAGGAGAGACAGTCCTTTATCCTTGCAGCCCATCACCCTGCAGGACTGCCTGGTACCACTGGAGAAGTAGTAACTGTATATAAATGGATGGCTGATTCATGCTGGGACACTGGTCTATTTTCTTGTCCCCCTAATACGGTCTCACAAGTACAAGAGAGCTGTAAAGCCAGTTCCCTGCATGGTCCCACTCCAAGCTGCAGTGACCACACTGAGCGTAGCAACCAGAGACGTCAGTGGCTTCCTGGAGGCTGTCATCCT